TTTTATCCTTCCATCTTGTTCTTGGTCTACCTCGTGCTCTACGTCCTTCTTCTCTTTCCATGTATGCTTTGTATGGTATGGTGTCACAAGGCATTCTCTCTAAGTGGGCAAACCATTTCACTTGCTGTCTTTGTATGTAATCCAGAATTGGTTCTGTGCCGCCTTTTTCTCTTATGATCCCATTCCTGATCTTATCTCTTATGGTTACTCCTACAGCCCTTCTCAGACATCTCATTTCCGTGGTTGCTAATTTTCTTTTATGGTTTGTTGTGAGTTACCATGTCTGGCGCTGGTAGCACGGAGTTGGAATAAATATGCTTTGAATAAGATATCTCTTTGTGCTGATTGGGATTGTCTTATGCTGTTAGAGGGGTGCTAGCTGTCCCTATACTTGGTTTGCCTTACTGCATCTAATGTTAATTTCTTTATCCTATTTTCCATTTTCGGTGAATGTAGTTCCCAGATATTTAAACTCAGATGCCTGTTTAATGACTTTGCACTCTATTGCTATGTTTAGATCTGTCTTCTTTTTTCCTATTGTCATTACTTCTGTCTTTTCAGTGTTGATTCTCATATTATTTGTTTTACATTCTTAATTTATGGATGTTAGATGTTGTTGCAATTTCATGGCTGTATCTGCTATCAAGGCCTGGTCATCTGCAAAGATGACCAGGCCTTCACCAGCTGTAAACTCTGAAAAGAAATTATAATTGTTCGACTACTTCTAGACTTTGTAGATATTCCCAGTGAGTACGTTATTCCTTCTGTTTGTCGTTTGCATCGTCGGTCTCTTCGTATCGTCCAGCCTCGTCTGTAATCATTGCTCGCTGTGGTCTACTTGTATTTTGGCATCGGCTGCTTGTGGCCAAACTATTTCACTTGTCTTGTAATGAAATCCAGAGCTGCCCCCCCCCCTTTCTCCCCCCCCCCCCCCCCCCCCCACCCTTTCCCCCTTTAATAACCCCCTTTCCCACAGTTTGATTAGGATTTCATCGTTTATAATCTGATCTCTTTTTGTTACATGAAGTGCCCTTTGCAGGAATCTCATTTCAGTAGTTGTAATTTTTTTTTCTCTCTGTTTCTGTCATTGTCCATGTTTGGCACTGATAGCAAATTGTTGGCCAGAAGATTGTGTAATAGAGAGTCCCTTTGTAGTTTCTTCTGACACATGGTTGTGTCTTAGTATTACTTACTTTACTTTTTCCTTCCACGTATGCCGCTAAGCGTTGTGGGGAGATGCAAGTTCCTGTCATAAGCAAGGCGGGCAGCATCTGATGTTCTGAGGCCATGCTTTTGGCAGGTTTCGGAGACCCCGTCAATCCACCGTTTCCTTGGTCTTCCTCTTGCCTTATATCCTGAGCTTCTTTGGTTGAAAATTTGTGATGTTATTTGATCATTTTTCATCCTGGTTAGATGTCCAAACCATTTCATTCTTTGATGTTCTATGTAGTCTAAACATGGTGTAGTTTTGACAGTGTTTCTAATGTCTATATTCTTTATCCTGTCTAGTCTGGTCTTATTCGCTGCTTTTCTTAGACATTTCATTTCACAGGCTTCTATTTTTCTTTCATGGGTCTTGTTGATTGTCCATGTCTGGCACTGGTAGCAGAGTGTTGGAATGAAGATGGTGTTTATCAATTGTCTTTTGGTCTTTATGGTTATATCTGGATGCTTAAGCAGAGGTGATAGTTGGTATGTGACAGCATTTGCTTTCTGTATTCTTGTTTCTATCTCTCTGTCCATTCTTCCATCCTCTGTAAATATACTGCCCAAGTATTTGAACTCTTTGGTTTGCTTGATTTTGGCACTTCCAACATTTATATTCAGTGGCCTGTGTGTTCTGCTGATCTTCATAACTTCTGTTTTTTCTGTACTGATTCTCATATTATGTTGTGAACAGCTGTTGTTGAGAGTAGTCAGATGTTCCTGTAGATCATTTTCATTTTGATACAGTATGCTTTGATCATCAGCAAAAAGTAATTCGTTTATAGCATACACGTCTGGGTTTGCTTCTACAGTGATCTTATCCATGTATGTTATGAAAAGTAATGGTGACAGTACACATCCTTGTCTGACACCAGTTGTGACTTTGAACCATTCAGAAAGACCACTAGATGTTCTTACTGCACTTTCACTTTTTTCATAGAGGGCTCTGATGTTGTCTAATAATTGACCCTGCACTCCGTCTTAGTATTGACGGCTTGAAAATGACAGTGTTAGAGGATGCAGTTTATGTAGGTCGAGGCAGGGGTCGACCACCGCAAAGATGGAGAGCTGGCTAGGGAAAGGGATACGTTCAGGCGTGCCGTGAAGAGAGCGACGTTCTGTAAAGAACTTGCTGATTGATGGTGAAGTATTTCAAATTCTTCAGTGTGTGTGTGTATGTGTGTGTGTGTGTGTGTGTGTATGTGTGTGTGTGTGTGCCATCCCCCCAGCCCCCAGTGATAACAGCTGGTAAGGCCAGCACGCCCCCACCCAGCATGCCCCCTAATACCCCTCTGTCCCCAGGTCGACCTAGTCTTACATGGGTAGCAGGTAAAGTCCTGGGAAGAAAAGGTGGTCGGCGTGATGTTGACCACATAACCCTCCGGGTGCCGATTGGTCTATAAAATATAAATCTAGCCCTATGTGCCCAATACGTTTGAAGGTTCCATTTTGCAACGCCTGTACTGACAATGGGATACGCAATGTTCACATATACTAGGCTAAGACATATGAGATATGAAAGTCCATCTCCCTTCTTTGTCGGCTCTCCGTTAAAGGCAATGATCAGAATATCCTGAAAATTATTTGATACCAATTTTGTTGGAGCAGCGCTAATGTAACGGCTCGACTATCGCTTTCCGGACAGAAGGTAAAGTCGTCATCGCCGAGTCTATTTGGAATTTGTTTTCAAAAACTGACTTTGCTTTCATTCAGGTCGACTTAGTTTAAAATGGTTGCTATGTATACTTAGTTTAAAATGGTTGCCATGTGGACTCAGTTTAAGACTGGTGCCAAGTCGTGTCTTAGAAAGTCAGTGGGCTTCATGCACCATGTGGTGACTAGTCTATACAAAATATAAATCTGGCATCATATTTCCGGGCAAGAGTACTTACGTAATAAGAGTTATTACCCATGTTTCATGGCTGGAGGGACAATAGAACTAATCTGGTAAAATTTTGAGTTTTGAACCGGTTGAGTGTTAAGTCAGCATGTATGCATGCTAACTACTACAACACCATGACTCTCTCTCTCTCTCTCTCTCTCTCTCTCTCTCTCTCTCTCTCTCTGTGTGTGTGTGTTTGGCTTTTGATTCTTTAGTCTTATGTTTGCAGCCTTTCGGTACTCGGTGAGCGCTAAAATAAATTCTCATTTGCCTGCAAGCTGTTGGTTCCTCGCTTCCGAGGCATATGCGAGGCGACATGGAGAGAAATATACCAAGAAATAACTTAGTCATACATAACTATGCTATGCTATCGATGTTTAACATGGACACTGACTTCAAAAGACGGAATGAAAATAGTTATTACAGAAATGAAATATTTATCTACTGTGCTAGATCTAATGAGGGAAGATCTACTTAGGAACGATGATATCAATTGGAGAGTTCGCCCACAAACAATACTGAACTTTAAAGGTAGACAACAAATCAAATGGTTTGGCCATGTAATAATACTGGCATCAGACAGGGACCCGCAGAGAGCAGTGTTATACAGATACAACGGTAACAGAGCTAGAGATCGACCATGCAGATTGTGGACCGCAGAAATATCAGAGACACTAAAAAGTACTGTATACGAAGCGAACAGAAGGGCCTGTTCCAGAGATCTCTTCCTGTCCTGACGCCGCAAGGCATTGCAGGAGTAGAGAAAAGTAGAAGAAGAAGCAGATACATAACTAATTCATTATACACCAATCATTCATATTTCGATAACACGTTACATCTCTTAGCCTCCCCCCTCGCCCCCCCCCCCACTCCCACCCACTGGATTTTTAATCATGTGCAGCAGTCATCATGTTTTGTATATTTGTACTTTGTAAGATTATTTAGGCAAACTAAATCAACCGGCAACACAAGTCAGCTGCAATGTACCCTGTACCTGGACCCTGTGGATGTAGTATATCCACGCTTGTGTTGTTATCGTTTTTGTTTCAGTCAGGCATCAAGTATGAAATGTTACAACTGAAAGAGTTAAAGGCTTGGGGACAAGACTGCTGTGGTGGGCGGACGAGCAATAGACCAAGCTGACTACTGCAAATTCAACGACTAACGCATGTTGACTCAATCTACAACCAGTCCTCAATTGTGACTCAGCGTGTCGAAATGGCTTAGCCAGACAAGAGCAATTTGCAGGAAGTATGAGAAAAGTTAATATACTAACACAGAAACAACATTGCTATCGTCTGACTGCTGCAACTACTGAAGGTGGCATCAGAGCGGTTATAGGCAGGGTTTTTCAGTGTAAAGCTAGGAAGTATTAAGGTTGTGGAAAGATATGACTACCCAAGGAAATTGAATCAAATACAACAGATATGTACTTACAAATAATTTAATCGTGCATAAAAATCAGTTTAGTCGTACATAACAAACAATATAATCATAAAATACAAGTAAGTCACAAACATCAAACAGCTCGATCTTCATTTACAAACAGTTTAAAAATAGATAACAAATCATTAATTCTATAATGGCCAGAAGTTGACACATAAATGGTGTCTGATTCTAATTTAATGTTGCAGACCTATAAATGTGTGAAATCTGTATCTTCAAACATTCAATGCTCTATCTCTTGTAACCTATACGCAACAACAAATTCTCAAACATTAAACTGTCGATACGCAACAACAAAGTCTCAAACATTAAACTGTCGATACGCAACAACAAAGTCTCAAACATTAAACTGTCGATACGCAACAACAAAGTCTCAAACATTAAACTGTCGATACGCAACAACAAAGTCTCAAACATTGAACTGTCGAGACTCTAACCACAAAGAAATGCTTCAATTTTCTCATAGTCGTCCTCATCACAACCAACGTCATCCAAAACAAATTTGTACTCCTTCAGGTAGCGACACCCATCTTCAAGAGTATACCCAGAAGGATCAACGAGTCCAACCGCATCTCTGCACGGCTCACTCAGATTCTGAATCGTCTGATTCATCTCCTGCAGTTTTGCAGCGTCTGGGTAGGTTTCCTTGGGTTCTGTAGCAGTGTCTGATGCAGTTTTCTGAACGCAAAGGGTGGCCTGAAAGGCTATTAGGCTGAAGCAGCCAACAATCATCACGATATTCATGCTGGAGCTTGATAAGTGTCTGAGAAGCGAAAAAATGTAACATCTGTTAGTGAAAGGGTAAAAAGACAACACCAAAGGCCGTAAGCTGTCTCGCAAATTGTCTAGAGGTATGAGGCGAGCATTGTTTGACTGCATACTAAAAACCAGTATTATTATTATTGTTACTTCTTCTTTTTCTTCTTTATTTTTTTTTCATCTTCTTTCTTTCAGGCCCTTCTTCTTCTTCTTCTTCTTCTTCTTCTTCTTCTTCTTCTTCTTCTTCTTCTTCTTCTTCTTCTTCTTCTTTCTTCTTCTCTTCTTCTTCTTCTTCTTCTTCTCTTCTCTTCTCTTCTTCTTCTTTTTCTTATACTTCTTCTTCTTCTTCTTCTTCTTCTCTTCTTCTTCTTCTTCTTCTTCTTCTTCTTCTTCTTCTTCTTCTTCTTTCTTCTTCTTCTTCTTCTTCTTCTTTTCTTCTTTTCTTCTTCTCTTCTTCTTCTTCTTCTTCTTCTTCTTCTTCTTCTTCTTCTTCTTCTTCTTTCTTCTTCCTTCTTTCTTCTTCTTCTTCTTCTTCTTCTTCTTCTTCTTCTTCTTCTTTCTTCTTCTTCTTCTTCTTCTTCTTCTTCTTCTTCTTCTTCTTCTTCTTATTCGTTCTTCTTCTTCTTCTTCTTCTTCTTCTTCTTTCTTTTCTTCTTCTATTCTTCTTCTTCTTCTTCTTCTTCTTCTTCTTCTTCTTCTTCTTCTTCTTCTTCTCTTCTTCTTCTTCTTCTTCTTCTTCTTCTTCTTCTTCTTCTTCTTCTTCTTCTTCTTCTTCTTCTTCTTCTTCTTCTTCTTCTTCTTCTTCTTCTTCTTCTTCTTCTTCTTCTTCTTCTTTCTTCTTTCTTCTTCTTCTTCTTCTTTTCTTCTTCTTCTTCTTCTTCTTCTTCTTCTTCTTTTTTTTCTTCTTCTTCTTTCTTCTTCTTCTTCTTCTTCTTCTTCTTCTCTTCTTCTTCTTCTTTCTTCTTCTTTTCTTCTTCTTCTTCTTCTTCTTCTTCTTCTTCTTCTTCTTCTTCTTCTCTTCTTCTTCTTCTTCTTCTTCTTCTTCTTCTCTTCTTCTTCTTCTTCTTCTTCTTCTTCTTCTTCTTCTTCTTTCTTTCTTTCTTCTTCTTCTTCTTCTTTCTTCTTCTTCTTCTTCTTCTTCTTATACTTTCTTCTTCTTCTTCTTCTTTTTCTTATACTTCTTCTTCTTCTATTTCTTCTTCTTCTTCTTCTTTTTCTTCTTCTTCTTCTTCTTCTTCTTCTTCTTCTTCTTCTTCTTCTTCTTCTTCTTCTTCTCCTACTTCTTGTTTTTCTTCTTCTCCTTCTTCTTCTTCTTCCTCTTCTTCTTCTTTTTCCTCTTCTTCTTCTTTCTTTCTTTCTTTCTTTCTTTCTTTCTTTCTTTCTTTCTTTCTTTCTTTCTTTCTTTCTTTCATCTTATTTTTCTTCTTCTTCTACCTGATTCTTCTTTCTTTTTTTTTCTTATGTTTCTTCTTTCTTTTTCTTTTCATCGTCTTTTCCTTCTGCTTTTTTTTCCCCTTTTTTTTCTTCTCCTACTTCTTCTTCTTCTTCTTACTATTATTATTATTATTATTTTTCTTCTTCTTTTTCTTCTTCTTCTACTTCTTTTTCTATATTTTTTTCCCACCTTTTTCCTCCATCCCCCTCCTCCCCCGCTTACAACAAAAACATTTTAAGGAGATATCCGACGTTCTTCTGTTTGCTTTGTCTTATGCTGTGTATAATTTGATTTTAATATATTTACGGCTGTTCTCGGTCACGTCATTCCATGTTTGCCTGGTCCTCCTCTTGCTCTGAGTTTATTGTCATTCTACGGCGTGACTCTCTACCGCAGCTGGTACCTGTTGATTCACGGCAGATGACCAAACTACCTCATATGTTGCTCTGAAGTGAACTGTATGCCTGGTCTCACTCATATTCTAAGCTCAACTTGGTAAAACTCCGATATCGCAGCATTCAGGACAACGCCATATTAGCTCCGTCTCCCTCCTCAACAGACAGGGAAAAGATTCCATAGTCGAAATCTTCATCTTTTAATTTTTTTAATTCAATTTTTTTTAATGCGGCTTAGACCAGCAGTTCTCAACGTGTGGGTCGGGACCCCTTTGAACCACAATGTCACTGGGGTCGCCCAAACCATCGGAAAACATAACTGCATGAGTATTAAAGGGTCGTGGCATTAGGAAGGTTGAGAACCACTGGTTTCGACGTCAGTGAATGCGTTCAGCGAGTTTAAGGCCCTCGTACTGTTGGACTTGCCAGGGGATTTCGATGTTCCCCGTTTTGGGGATGAGCTAAAAGAAAGTACCCCACAGTGCCCCCACTACATAATTCTTCCCACTCTATGCTACCAGTATCAAACAGCAAACATTTTTTTTAAAAAACTAATAATCATGGAAATAAGATGTCTGAGAAGAGTTGCAGGAGTGACTGAAAACATAGAATCAGGAATGAAGTCATAAGACATGTGGTCGAAGAATTTCATTGTCCTATCGATGCGTATTCAAGCTTCCTTCAACATGGACCAATTAATTCCTTCCGTTGTAACTGATTATTCCCATTACACCTCCACCTCCAACACAAGTTTTGGGCTAAATCTTCAGTTTACCTTCGGTAATGCTGCAACAAAAAGAACGAATCGTCCCTGAACCATACACGTCTCTAATGATTGTCACCTGCCCAGGGACGATGTTGGCTGCCCAAAGAGGTCGATTCTGGAGGTGGCGACGCGTAAGGGCAGATCATAATTGTGGTCATCGTGCCCAACGTTCTACGTCATACAGTCTCTTCCGAAAAGTTTGATCAGACACATTACGTCCTGGAGGCAAACCCCGCGCAGCTGAGAAAGCTGTTGTAAACCTCTTCCTGAGTGGAAGAAGCCGAATAAAGCGATGCTCTGCTGCTGTTGTCACTCTGTGTCGTCACTGAGATGTGGGTCTTTAACTGAACCAGGGAGTTGGAACCTGGACTTTCCCCTGCCTGCAGTCTGCCAATAGCAAGATTCCTGAACTGTAGAGGCGCTAATCGTGACTGCTTAAAAATAAACTGTGTTTTTGTGTAGCCTTATCCTTTTTGGTTTGATCTACTATTATCTCCGTAGCCGAAATAGGTCACTGTTTATTGATAGATTTTTTAGACTCGTTTTTTGTTCGGGGGTCTGGCTTGTCTTGCATTTACGTTTTTCTTAAAAAAAAAAAAAAAAATAGAGTTCATGTGACAGGTTGCAGGGCTCTCTAGACGGGTTGTGGGTTAAACCCAGTGCGTAAATGTTTTTGCGATTTTAAAAGCAGTGGCGTAATTAAATATATAACACGCTATATGAACGGATCGCCAAACACCCCCCTAGAAGTGTGCGGAGGTCAGGTGACTAAAGGCCGACCAATCAGAGGCGAGCTAGTGTGTAGGGGAGAATATCGTAAATCATACCTCCTTTTTAATAGGGCTTTAGTTGCGTAGGCAGTAAATAGTGTTCACCCCAAACTTTTTTTTCTGTGCGCGTATCATGAATAATGCTCACAAATATAGTCTTAAACACAACTGACCATTGCATTGTAAAAACCCACGCAATTCATGCCCCCATGTCCACTGGACACGGTAAACAACATTTGAGTCTGCTTTTCACATACCCGAGTACGATATTTTATTTACAAACTAATAAAAACGCGCAGTCTGATAACTGCGGTTTTTTTTAAACAGTATATACGACACCCGCAACGGTAATAGAGGAAATGACGAAGAAGAAGATAAAGACGATGAAGAAGAAGAAGAAGAAGAAGAAAAAGAAGAAGAAGAAGAAGAAGAAGAAGTTGTAGTATTAGTAAGTAGTAGTAGTAGTAGTAGTAGTAGTAGTAGTAGTAGTAGTAGTAGTAGTAGTAGTAGTAGTAGTAGTAGTAGTAGTTGTAGTAGTAGTAGTAGTAGTAGTAGTAGTAGTAGTAGTAGTAGTAGTAGTAGTAGTAGTAGTAGTAGTAGTAGTAGTAGTAGTAGTAGTAGTAGTAGTAGTAGTAGTAGTAGTAGTAGTAGTAGTAGTAGTAGTAGTAGTAGTAGTAGTAGTAGTAGTAGTAGTAGTAGTAGTAGTAGTAGTAATAGTAGTAGTAGTAGTAGTAGTAGTAGTAGTAGTAGTAGGTAGTAGTAGTAGTGTAGTAGTAGTAGTAGTAGTAGTAGTAGTAGTAGTAGTAGTAGTAGTAGTAGTAGTAGTAGTAGTAGTAGTAGTAGTAGTAGTATTAATAGTAGTAGTCGTAGTAGTACTAGTAGAAGAAGAGAAAGGAGAAAACATATAGGCAGACTCAAACATGTGATTACTAAGCTAGCTAAACAGAAAATATATCTAGAAAGGCAGACATTTTATCAATACGTCGGTTATCAAAAACATCTTACCCGCTACGATGACTCGAAAATGTTTTGATTTTAAAAAAGAAATTAAAACCGACAGCCTCATTTATACCAGCCCACACAAACCACAAAATATGACGGATTAAATGGGTGATCGTAATATCATAGTGGTTCTTTCACACGGTTGCTGGTTGACTGGTTTTGTGATTCGATAGTATCACATTCTATATGATATTTCATAAACAGCGTCCAAATGTATCTGTTGACAAACACTTTAAAACAGCCAAATGCATTTGTTTTTGTTTTGTCGGGTGCAGATAGAGATAGACTAATAGATAACATTTTAGAAGGATCCACTAACCATAAGTAGATAGTTATCTGTTTTTTTTTTAAACTGAAATTGTTTCAACAGTTGTGCAGGCACGGCACTCCGCCACCTAGAAATATTTAGGGGGAGGCAGGGGATGGTTCAGCTGAATTAAGGGACGTAAGCATTTTTAAGTATGGAATAATAATAAAAACACATACAAAATCT